ATCATATGTTGTCCAGTCTCTCTGTAATGGAAAAGAGCGGAGCTTGTCTCATGTCCTGGCTAGAGTAGTCTGTGAGGCTGGATCACCTCAGCTAGCCACCTCAAAATTGTCCTGAGCAGTTTGTAGTCAAAACCAATCTTTGGGTAGTATTTTTCAGCTTAGTAGTATTATCATAATCCATGTGTAATCATCCTTGTGGGGCCCCATCATCTTTTTGGAAGCTTCAAAAGTTGCTGTTAAGCATGGTCATGGTTCACTGCAGAAAACTGATAGAGACTCAAATAGGAAATCATGTACAGGAAGCTAGATGAAGCCTTTTTCTAGAATTAGTTAGTACTCGATATGATTATTAATATCATGACAAAAGTTTAAAACATATATATTAATCTTATAAATTTTGAGATAACATTTATATTTTAAGAAAAACTTTAAAGAGTTAAAATAAAACCAAAGGATTATAAAATTAGTGGCTTTAATTAGTCCTTTAATTTTTGTTTTTCTTCTGTCCCATATCAGGTGGCTTTTCTGATATGAGACAAGAGATTTTGGATTTGACTTTAAGAAGCATGCTTGGGTTTAGAGAAGGAGAGAGCCACACTCAAACTCCAAAGCCAGTTTTAATTTTTTAATTGGACTGGGACTACATAAAGACCATTTGCAGCCAGGTGATGGTAGCACACACCTTTAATCCCAGCACTCAGGAGTCAGAGCCAGTGGATCTCTGTGAGTTCAAGCCCAGCATGGTCTACAGAGCGAGATCCAGGACAGCTACTAAAACTACACAGAGAAACCCTGTCTCAAAAAAACAAAAAACAAAAAAGACTATTTGCATTACATGACTAGAGAACGACAGAAACAAATATTTAGGAAGATTTATGAAATTTTATCCTGTTGAAAATGTGATATATCAATAGGCCAATTTATTCTTTTTCTTGGTACATTTTTTTCTGGATGATTTGTTCTTTTTCTTCAGATGTCTCCTTTGTCCAGTAGTCTTCAGGTTCCTTAGCAGGATGCTTTCATTCTCTTGGAAAGATAAAAACAAAACCCCTCCCCAGCCCTAATTTGGAAGTTTTCTTATGGCAAGTTATATCTGATCAAATGAGAAGCACTTGTTAGTGGTATAAGTTAGTTTAAATTGAATGGTCATGCTGGTTGATGAACTATCACCTCTTCTAATTAAGAGGTCTCTCTTGTTCAAATTGAATCTTGATCATTTTGATGGTATCCATAGCTTATCTTCCGAGGAAACAAAAACAAAACCTCTTACCCAACGTAACACATATCCTGGTTTCCATTCTGAAGTCAGCACATCTTTAATGAAGTAGGCTGATTTAATTCTTTAGTTTTTTTCTATTATCCAATGTCTTCCCACAGCTGTTGTTTTTTTCTCATTAGCATTTAGAAAATTCAAAGTTAATAAAGTGTTATGCAATCTATTTCTGGGAGTCTTTATTATCCCTTTCTGTTTATTTAGCATATCCTTTAGAGTTCAATTTGATCTTTCTATGACTGCTTGCCCTGTGGGATTGTGTGGTATACCTGTAATATGCTTTATATTGTAATAAGCAAAAAAAAAAAAAAAAAACCTGTTTCATTTTACCAGAGACATGTACTGGAGCATTGTTAGTTTTAACTTGCTGGGTGGTTCACAACCACCTGTAACGTCCAGCTCCAGGGGATCTGACACTCTCCTTTAGCCTCCATGGACACACACACACACACACACACACACACACACACACACACACACACACACACTTGACAATCTCCCTTGCCTAGACAAAATCTCCTTGGCTCTGACATGCATCATTTTATAACAGCGTCTTTCCTGTAATGACGTGGAGCCCTGAGGACTCTAAGTCCTGGGAGTTTCTCAAAAGGGTTTGTCAATAAGGACCATAGCTGTGCCTACATGGACCAAAGCAAGAGAACTTTCTAGAATGAGGGTAAGTGTTTTTGTTTTACTCAGGTCACCCATGGCCTGGCATATGTCAACACTACCACCCTGGCACTTTCAGGGCCTATATGTATCATTGAATGCAACTTTTTGGGCTGTCCCCTATCCACTTCCAGCCTAAAGCAGATACAGGATGCCTGTGTTCCTTGGGGTTAGATGAGCAAGGATGCACTAGATCAGCCTGACAGAGGCCACGGCCACACAGAGGGAATGGCTCACCTAAATGCTCATTACCACCATGCTCTCCTACCATAGAAACCTTCCCTGTGCCCACCAACAGCTGGACCTCCAAGACCCAGCTGGAGAGACCTTCTCACAAGACCTAGAAGGGGAGCTTGGACACTTCTCCTAGGAAGGCAGAGATGTTTATGTATTGCTCACCTGAAGCACAGATTCTTGCCCTCTTCTGAAAGTCCCTCTGGGACCCGTTGACTAGGAAATGTGCCCCCCTCCACCTCCTGACAGAAAATCAGGGCTTGCTTGGAAGGGAGTGGGCTGCAGGGAGCTATGAGTCTTACAGAGTGGGGTGTGGGCTTTTGCAAACTCATTGAGCATCCATGGCTGTGCAAACGGGGGAGAGGTGGCGCCCACAAACCACGGCCCAGTCTCCCTCACCTTCTTCCCTCAAGATGGGCCATGGGAGGCACCTTGGGATTTCTGGCCCCATTGTTAATCATCTGGTTGTGGTCCTCTTGCTCCACTCACATAGTTCAAGGGCCGACCTTGCCAGTTCTTTGTTGCTCTGAATATTTGACACCAGTGAGAGACAGCAAATGTCAGACAGGAGCAGCGACAGGGGGCACCCTCTAGTGTCGCAGCTCTCGGGTGGCTTTAGGTAGCCAGACCCTTCAATCCTTCGAGCATTGAAGCTTTGTTCAGCCTGTAAATCAAGGACTCCTCAGCTCTCGGTAACGGGCAGTGTTACAGCTCCCAGCCCTGGGGTGTCTCAGGCCCTTGGTTCTATGGTCTTGACAGCTCTTGGGAACGTCTCAAGTGCCCACGGCCTGCGGTAATTCCTCCCTGACTTCCCAGCATTCTGTCCTTAGGCTGCTGCTCTCCACCCTTTCTGCCTCCACTCCTCTTGTTTCTGACCTGCCCCATCCCTTGAGGATAGTTCAGGGCCACCGGTTACTACGGCCCCTGTCGCAGCTGTTGAGTAAGGAAGCAGCAGCGGCTGCAGGCTGCCACTCATCCACGGTGCTGCTTTGCAGGTGCCCTTGCAGCCAGAGGCTCTGACGCCTTTGCAGCTTGGTCTGCCCACTGCTCAGCAGCACTCACTGCCCGCTTCTGAAGCTTGGCATGCCAGCTCTGCTGCTCCGTTGTCTCTCCTGCTCCTGTGTGTGTGTGTGTGTGTCTGTGTGTGTCTGTGTGTGTGTGTGTGTGTGTGTGTGTGTGTGTGTGTGTGTGTGTGTGTGTCTAGCTCAGCCCGCACGGAACATAGGCAAGACCAGTCAAGCTGAACATTGTGGCATGCATATGCCCGTAAAGCCTGCACTTGAGAAGTGGAGGCAAGATGATCAAGAATTCATGGTCATCTTGGGCTACACATGAAACCTTGTCTCAGACAAACTTACAAACAAAAACAAAAAGTACACTCTAGGAAAGGTTTTTATTGGGCCCAAGGTTGCAGTACCAGGGTAGGCAGCAAAGGAGGCTGTGTGTCAGCTCATCAGACCGGACATGGGGTGTCTCATCCCAGTCGTAGCAAGCTTGTTATGCAAACAAAGTTTGTGTTGGCACCAAGCACAGTATTGCTTCCTCTGCCATTCTTAGCAGTCCCTCTGCGAGGCCACCAGGGCATGTGGGCCACCTCTGGCCTGAGGAGAAATGATCATGGAGTCACCTGGAGCTCCCCAAGGTGAAGCACCAATGGTTTGGGACAGTCCTGGACGGGGCTGACTCTCGGAAGCGAGAGTGAGAAAGGGCTCAGCAGTGTGGGATATGTAAGGTTGTTTGATTGACAGCCCTTTGGCTCGAGACAGCTGGGGGAGCAAGGGAGAGTCAACAGCACTGGGGTCATATCGCCCCATCCCTCTTTACAGGAGAATGGATCAGCAGAAAGGGTGCTTAGAAGTCAAAGAACTTGTCATTGACATTAACTGAGTAGTTTCGATGATGGTTTATAATGCTTGACACCTGCCAGATACCCGGGCACAGTTGGGCTCCCTTCCTCTCTCAGGACCACATCAGCCCTGGGCAGATAGATGGCAGAGCTACCTACGTGGGGAAGTGGCGGCCCGTGGGCGTCTGCCCTCTGGATTGCCTGGGGGGCTGAGCTCTTCCGGCCTCCCCTCCACTGCCACCAACGCGCCTGTGCCGGAGGCAGTGGGAGCCAGAGTCCTGCGACACCCCTGTAGGAGCCGTGCAGACATTCCCGGGACACGTCTCACCACCACCTCCCATGGCCGGTCTCCAGCTGGCATGGGAACACATCTGACCCTGTGTGCTTGAACCACTGTATCCTCAAAGTCAGAAACATTGCTCTCTCTCAGGACCCCTCAACTGTCACTCGGGGGCTGACTTCTTAAATACCCCCCCACTCAGCTTCTTCTCCTGGAGATTTGGAGCCACATCCCACATTCAGTGACATCCCCCAGGCGAGGTGGCTGGCTCTGCCTCAGGCCAGTACTGCGTGCCATGCAGATGGCTTGTGAGGAGCCAAACTCACTCAAACATAAACACTGAGGCCAGACAGGGTGTGAAGACAGGGCTCTGAGTTCTTCCGCCCCCCCCCCCCCCAGCTTAGAGAGACAGAGCAAGGGCTCAGAGTCTCTCATGGTCTCAGCAGGCTGGCCCGGGTCCAGGGACCTGATGGCCAAACCCTGATGGTCCCAACTTCCCCGGTTGCTTTCTGGCCCAGCTACACATCACTTCAAGAGGGTTCTGCAGCCAGCTCTCGGATGTGAACAGTTATGTGGGGGCCTTTGGCTGCCTTCCAACGGGACACAGGATGTGTGTGGACAGGCTGTCCACAGGGGCTGTCATCACAGAACAGAAAGGGGCATAAGGGAGTGAGAGGCAGGCCAAGGCGTCCACCAGAGAGCATGGTAGTCCTGCTAGTGCTAGGCCTGGTGCCGAGTCTTGCTGCTGCGCAGTTCAACTGGGAAATCATTTCTCAGAAGAACTACAACATGGCCAAGGTGGGCCAAGCCTTCTGGGGCTAGGCTGGGCTTCATGAAGAGCACCTGTCCTCCCTTGACTGGGGGGGGCGCTTGACCTGGAAACAGGGAGTCTGGGCCATGAGAGCCCCAGCCATGATAGCAGCCAGAGGGTGCAGAAGGAGCCCCGGGAGGCATCAGGCAGAGGGAGGGCTGGGAGGGCAAGAGGAGGTCCCAGCTTGGAGCTAGTGTGCAGGGACTCACCCAGGAGTGTGGCCACGAGGGCCAAGCAGCCCCGGGGCTGTTACAGGATTCCCATCACCCAGCCTTTCCTTCCAGATTTCCGGGATCTGGTACTCTATTTTCATGGCCTCAGATAACATGACACGCATTGAAGAAAACGGAGACCTGAGGGTCTTCATGCGGAACATCAACCCCTTAAAGAACGGCAGCCTGAAGTTTGACTTCTTTTTCATGTGCGTATTGCCACCCCCGCCCTCAAGCTGAAACTAGGGGAGACTGTGTTCCCAAGCCCACAGGAACTGCATACACTCACACACCTGCCCACTGGGCCAGGGTGTGAACTGTCACCAGCTCTTCCCCGGGAATCATTATGATGGGATCAAGGGGTGCCCTGGCCTGTTGCTGGGTTCTGTGCTCCTCCCCGTGAGAAAAGCTGAAAGGCCCCTTCTGAGATGGGGTGGTTATGGAAAACAAGGTACTAGACTTGGGGGCTCGATGACCTCCTGTCATGATCCCAGCAGGGGGGAGGGGCTGGTGCTTGCTCTGAGTCCCCCCCCTCACGGTCCTCCAGGGTGCATGGAGAATGTGTAGCTGTGACCATGGTGTGTGAAAAGACAGAGAACTACGGGGAGTTCACCGTTGCCTGTAAGTGCAATCCCTGTTCTTCCAGCTCTGACAGCCAGGAATCTTTTCTGCTGAGGCCTTGCCCACTCTGGTGAGCACTCACCCCAACCCTAAAGCAAGAGCACCCAGCTTAGGGGGATCTCAAGGGTCCCCAGCCTGGCCCTCTCTCTGGATATCGCTAGCCTGGAACTACCAGAGAGGCCGAGTACTATGCTGAGGCTTGCGGAAGCAGCGTACAAAGGCCCGTGTTCAGGCAGACAGGTAGGGCCATGGCACCCTGCTACCCCCACTTTTCATACCACAGTCTCCTCCGGAGCCAGCACTGGGCATCCAGACTCCTACTCCTTCCAATGCCTGCTTAACAGTTAGCTACATGAGTTGGATGGCACTCATCCCAGCAGTGAGGGTGGGGGATCCCGGTGCCGGGGCAGAGGGTGTGCTGAGCTCTATCTCCATGCAGATGAGGGAGAAAACAGGGTGCTGCTCACGGAGACTGACTACAGAATGTATATCACCTTCTACATGCAGAACATCAAGAATGGGACCAAGACCCATGTGCTGGCGCTCTATGGTAACCCGACCCCTGTCTGCTCGGGAATCCTAGCCACTGGTGTGTGTGTGTGTGGGTCTCCCATGGGCCCTAGACACGTGATGGAATGATACCTTGGGACCCTTCCCCAACACAAAGTCCCAAATTTGTCCCCAGGACGCCTCCCAGTGCTTAGCAGTTCTTACCTGGAAAGATTTGTAAACATCTGCAAAAAATACAGGCTGAATGCACAAAATATCATCGACTTGACCAACAAAGGTGGGTTCCCTGATCTGGCCCAGAAAGGGTCCAGAGAAGGCAGCATTGTGGCCTGGTGTGCCTGGCACAGACGCCTTGAGGGTTGGGGTGGGGGTCGGGGGAGGCTCAGCAAGCCATCTGACATTCCCTTGTCTCCCCAGATGTGTGCTTCCCTAGACGATAGAAGAGCTAGTCAGGCCTTCTGGTATGTGGATTTTCATCTGAATGCAGAACATGGCAGCCCAGGGCGTTGGGAGCTGGACAGGGTAGTGTAGAGCCAGTGTCAGAAGCTGGGGGGTCCATCCCAGGGTGACCATGAGCAGCATGTCTCAGAGCCCACACTGTGCCCGTTACTGGGTTGTCCTGAAGAAGTAAAGGGGCACACGGCTCTTTGTAGGAGACCGTGTGTGACATATTCCCAGAATCAGGGTTGTGGTGGGGCCTTATGTAGTGTGAGTAGAGCAGGAAACCTGGCCCTGCGGAACTGCCCTGGATGCTGCGTTCAGGAAAGTGTAGCACGTGGGGTTTACTGTCTCACAACTTTCCAGCCCAGAGCCCAGAGATCCAGGCAATGCGGAGCCAGCACTGGACATCCTGGTCCTGATGCTAGCCTGTGGTCACATCTCCCTACTCTCTGCCTCTGTCTTCACACGACCTTCTGTGTCTGCATCTCCTCCTCCATCATTAGATCTAAGCCACCCAGGCATCCCAACTGATCTCACCCGATGTCTGAAGACTCTTGCCAATAAAGTCCCTCCTTTGGTCTCAGCATGAAGACAGGCATGTGTTTGGGGATGTGGCATTTGGCACTCCGAGGTCCTTTCTTGGGAATGGGCCTCCATGGTAGTAAAGACCACCCTCAGAGCATCCCAGAGACTGGCACCAGCGTCACCTCTTAAAGGATCCTGTACACAGGCCCTGAGGCTCTATGGAGACAGAGAGCCCGTAAGGCCTGACAGCCCTCGGGTGGGCGGAGCCCTGTCTGACCAGCGCTGGGACTAGACTCCCGGGGGGATTAGTGATAGCAGCCCAGTTGGGGTAGGCGCCTGTTCCATGTGTTCCTGAACACGTTACGGTGGTGTGTGGGCTGACAGCGACCCTAGTGGACATGTGGCAGAGAGATGTGAATGCTGCACCCACGCAGGCGGCTCTGCGTAGATGCTCTCAGCAGCTTCATTCACGACCATGGCCTGAAACAGGTGACAGATGCAGCAAGCCGGGTCTCGGGTCAGCGTAAGAACAGTGGCAAAGCAGGAGCAAAGGGGGCAGGTGAGAGGAGGAAGTGTGGCTGCGAGGGGCGGCAAGATGGTCCCAGCTGTGCTGAGCGGTCACCGAAGGGCAGAGGTGGTGGATACGCAGCCCTACACAACTGATAAAACGCTCAGCATCACACACACATGCACACACACTCACACATGCACACACACTCTCATATGCACACACACTCTCATATGCACACACACTCACACATGCACACACACTCA